ATGGCCCGTGTTTGGGTAATTTAAAAAGGTAAACAATATTGATATAGCTTTTTATCTAAAATGTGGTGGGATGACGGTGTGGAGGGATTGAGCCTCTGGTAACCTCACTCACGCGACGAAACACAACGATGTAGTTGTTTCACGCTGGTTTTCTGTGAGGCCGTTATATCACTTTGGTAGAGCCGACTCATTCGTGTAAAGGCTTGAAGGCTCTCCCCACTTTTTTTGAGATGAGAAAATCATCCAATGACTTCCCCACCCAGGTCAGTGTCAGACTCTTACTGGCTAAGACCCACCCATTCTTTTTCTGCTTCAGGCCGGGGCCAGACCTAGTCAAATTCAAAACTTATTTCAAAATTGACTGTTTTCTAAAAATTTAAAAAAGACTGTGTGCTGTGATGTCACTTTTTTGGATCAACAAGCAAACTATTTTTGGAAAGTAAGCTGAAACAGTAATAAAATAAAAAAACTACAAATTCTTTTGTTTGCAATCAAAATAATCAATTAAGTTAAGTAAGGATTACTAAATCTTTATAATACAACTCCTCGCAAGGATTTTTTTCCCGAAAATGGCAAAGTTTGATATTTTTTTAATGTTCGATTAAAGGAGTTGCAATACGACCAATCCGCGCATTAAAGCCTTTTTTGCTATACCTATTACTAGAAACAAGTATCTCTTACTTGTAACTGCTAATAGTGTCTGGTAATACTATCCTACTACTATTATAAAGGCGAAAGTTTGTAAGTATGGATGTATGGATGTTTGTTACTCTTTCACGTAAAAACTACTGAATGGATTTGAATGAAACTTTACGACAATATAGCTTATACATCAGAATAACACATAGGCTTCAATTTTTGAGGTTTCTAATGTGAGGTCGTAAAAAACACATTTTTTGCGCTTACATTGCAAACCTTGGTCGAAATAAACAGCGAAACATCAGTGTATAATTCCATTGACACACTTATGTCATCCGATGACACTACAAGTTATCCCGTAGAGTTCCTAAACTCTTTAGAGTTGTCCGGGGTGCCATCACACAAGTTGGAATTAAAGGTAGGTGTACCAGTTTTGTTAATGCGTAACCTGGATGCGCCAAGATTATGCAACGGTACTCGGTTGCGAGTTACCGAATTAGGAAGACATATAGTAAAGGCTACAATTTTAACTGGAGAAGCCAAGGGAGACAATGTTCTTATACCGCGCATCCCACCCAACAATTTGCCATTCAATTTTAAACGTCTGCAGTTCCCATTAAAAGTCGCGTTTTCAATGAAGATCAACAAATCGCAGGGTCAAACCTTGAAGGTAGCAGGCCTACATTTGGGCACGCCATGTTTTTCTCACGATCAGCTCAATGTGGCTTGCTCACGTGTTTCCAAAGCGAAGAATCTGCATGTTTATGCTGAAGGAAAAAAATCGTTAAATGTAGTTTATAGGAGCATACTGCAGTAGCTACCTATAGACCTATGATTAGGGCTCTGCAGTGCTAAGTTACCGTATTTCTTACTTAATTACTAGACTAGACGGGACGAACCTGAAGTCCACGCGAACGAAGTCGCGGGCAAAAGCTACTTATACCTATAAAGAAAGTGCTTGGCTTTCATTTTCGGTAGAAAGAACAAAAAAAGAAGAAAAAGAAAGAAGGAGATGGGAAATTACTTTTAGTAAATTCTCGTCATTTAAGGCATACAAGTATTTTATCGTCTCGTTTCTAATCATTTGATTTATAAAACAACTGGCAGTTCTCGCGACCGTGGCAATAACGCTGAATGACGTAAGCAACGCTGACGCATAGTGCTATTATTAAATACAGCGGATAGTGAATAGTAAATTTACCTCAGCTATCGCCAACGTCCATACCATGTTGAAAGCACCGGTTCTCGTCCGATCACCGAAGTTAAGCAACATCGGGCGCGGTTAGTACTTGGATGGGTGACCGCCTGGGAATACCGCGTGACGTTAGCTTTTTGTCTTTTTTTTCTTGCTGCAACTTTTTATTTGATAATTTCTAAGTTTCCTATACTTGTAGATATAAAAATCATAATTTATTTATTTCTAAAACTGGCAGTCCTCGCGGTCGTTGCAACGATCCGTCGAATGACGTAAACAACACTGACGTATATAGTGCTATTATCAGATACAGCAGATAATGAATAGTAAATTTGCCTCAGCTATCGCCAACGTCCATACCATGTTGAAAGCACCGGTTCTCGTCCGATCACCGAAGTTAAGCAACATCGGGCGCGGTTAGTACTTGGATGGGTGACCGCCTGGGAATACCGCGTGACGTTAGCTTTTTGCACTCGGATTGATTATTTTATGTATTTCTGTTTTTTTAATTGTTTTCCTTAATTATTTAATATAAATTGCTTAAATTGTTACTTCGTTATTAATGTCCTAAAAAACATTTTATTATCACGTCGTGGATACTTAAAAATAAGTTATCGTTCACAACTTATTAGTTATCGAACTTGTTCACCAGGCGAACGATGTTTAAGAATACCTGATTTAAAAAAAAATGTGAGCTGCTTGAAATATCTTTTTAAAATATACAATTTCCCCACTTATAGGGAAAATTTAACGTAATGGCATTATTTTTTTCAATGTGTGCGATACGTCATTCGTAAATACAAGAATCATAAGTAAGCGCCCTTTGCTCCCTGCGCTGGCGTATGGGCAACCACTTTAATTGCAGCCGATATGCAGAAACATGATCATATTTACTCAGGTTGAAAATGAATCGAATGCAGTTATTTAGGAGTCGGTCAAGCTTATTGAGAAGATCTGCATTAAGGTCGTAGCAGCAGACATCAGCATAATCAATAATAGGGACAACCAAGGCCTGCAAGTATCCAGTAAACTTGTTAGGCCTATAATTTTTTTTGACCAGTTTTTTTTTTTTTTGTGAGGGGAAAATCATCAAATGACTTCTCCCGCCCAGGGCCGGGCAGGAGGGAGTGTCAGACTCTTACTGACTAAAAACCCCCCTGTTCCTTCTCCTGCTCTGTGCCGAGGTCGCGGTACCTCATTGCGCTTACCCCGCAACCCCGGCTGAACATCAGCCCTTTAGGGCCCCGTCTGTGGTGGTCTATTGGCTCTTTGAGGCGCGCGCGGAACGCTACGCGCCGTTACGTGATGTTTTGTGACTGGGATTCTCAGAGCTGTGTAGTCTCTTTTGCGCCTTTTATGCCTGAGTCATTCTGTCTCCTGCAAACAAAGAAATTAGTTACATATTTTGAAAATAGTCACGTCATTGTAACTGCTAACGTGACTTATCTACTCCACACACAAATGTTATTATGTGTTGTACTTTATTGTTTTATAAAGTTTTTGATAAATGAATCAAATTATATTTATTTGTTAACTAGCTTATGCCCGCGACTCCGTCCGCGTGGTATAGTGACTTCGTGCAGATTTTTGGTATAAAAACTATCCTATGTCCTTTCTCGAGTTCCAAACTATGTCTGTACCAAATATTACAGAAATCGGTTCATTAGTTTAGGCGTGAAGAAAGGAAGACAGATAAAGTTACTTTCGAATGAATGATATAAGTATGGATAAAACAAAAAAAAATTATGCACATCGCATACTCCATAAGAACCTTTTACTGCTAGTAACAAACACAACAAAAAAAAATGTTCCATGCCTTGCCGAGTTATGCGCTTACCAACACATTTTGCGATTAGGCATTTAGTAATTCTACTCTACTAAGTAACAACAAAATAATAAAAATAACAACTTTATCATCCCCGCGTTCAGGGAGACACGTGCACCCACCGCGCCCATGTTTACCCAGTTTATAAGGAAATAGATACGGCCACCATTTTCCTTGATCGCCAGCTAATTGGCTTCTATCAATCCGCTACCATGTTATTTTTCCATGTAAACTACATGAGTCATTAACTGCATATAAAACTAAATAATAATATTTTGAACCCAGGAAAATGATATCGACATAAATAAACAAGGACAGGCAAATTCTATGTGGTTATACACAATTAGAACATGTTACAACAAATTATAGTTGTGTCGTCTGGTTAAAAGTATTATTTATGGCATATGGTCTGGCAAGGAGTCTCTGGATGCTGGCCGTTTTAAGCCGAGCGATCGTCTCGTTTTGCGGTCTTTAAAGAGCTATTAGACCACTACAGATGGGGCCTTAACCTGCATGGCCAAGGCTGCGGACACAATGACTTACCGTGTCCTGGTTCGAAGGAGCAATGGTATGGTTTTTAGTCAGTAAGAGTAACACTTCCTCGTAAATCGATTTTCGCTCCTCAAGAAAGCCGGGCAATCGTTGAGTGGTCTATGTTCAGCAGTAGACATTTTGTTTGTCATATGAAGATGATACTTGAGACTACCTACGCCCTCATAGCCTATATGTCTACATAGGCTATGAGGATTACGCCTCGTAAAGTTGCAGATGTCCATAGGCTGTCTCACTGCTTTGTATGAAAGAAATGGGCTGAAATCTTGTTTAGGTTTCTTACTTCATGATACAGTGTACACCAATTTTTCAAGACTGTAAGCATTACATGCAACTTAAGTTACCCGAAAACTTTCATCCCCATCAAACAGATGGTTGGCAGTCAAAAACTGCAATTTTCGCACAAATTTAATGATTCGCACAGCAAATCTTTGGAATGTTCTTTTGGCGGCGATAGTTCCGAACAGATGCGACCCTCAAACCTACAAGAAACGTGCTTCCTTCTTAAAAGGCCGGCAAAGCATTTGTTACTCCTCTGGTGTTGGGGGTCCATGGGCGGCGCTGATCACTTGCCATTGTGTGATCCGTCTGACCTTTTAATGTTATTTGTCAAATATCCGTTTATCTACACAAAAAATTGCAAGAATGTTGTTTAATATGTACCTTTCTGATACATCTTCGTACATAATGAAGATGTATGATTTGTATTAGAAACAACGAAACCCGCTCCATTTCCACCATTTTATGCCAAGTAATCAATCAGTCTCACAATGTTTTCTTTATTTCCAGGTAAACCAACTAAAAGAGCTGATACGTCGCATAGACCTTCCCCTACACGAGCACCTGCAGACCCACGGCGTCGACTACCTTCAGTTCTCATTCAGGTGGATGAACAACCTCCTCACCAGGGAAATACCACTCCCTTGCACCATTCGTCTTTGGGACACCTACCTCGCAGAGTCTGATGGGTTCGCGACCTTCCAACTATACGTCTGTGCTGCCTTCCTCCTGCATTGGAGAGAGAGGCTCATGCTAGAAAGAGACTTTCAAGGCCTGATGATACTCCTACAGAACGTCCCGACACAAAACTGGACGGACTCTAACATTAGTGTGCTGGTAGCTGAAGCTTATAGGCTCAAGTTTGCATTCGCAGACGCACCGAACCATTTACACAACGCTGGCAAGTCGGACAGATGACCTGGCAGGTAGCCTGGTACTCTTACTGTCGCGGAACGATGTCTACGTATATGAGGATCACAATCCAAGGTCATTATCTATACACGTATTATTCATAAACGCATTATACCTATATCATAAAGACAGATGTTGTACAACCAGTATAATGCTGTAGTGTCCCATTTTAACATCAAGCTTCCACAAGGGCACAGCGTTTCAATCAAGTGGCCTGTTAGTATGAAAACAAAAAAAAAACAAATACGCGTTGACGCTGTGATGTATAGAAAAAGGTGATAAAATACAAAAAAATGAGAGTTCGTTGTTCGATAGGTGACCATAGCTACGACCATTCTAGGTTAGGTTATTAAATAAGAGAATTTTCTAGAAAAAAAAAATAAAGATGTCACTTGTACTCCATAGACTTCATTCCGTGACGTCATCGACCATTTTGACATTATCAGCTTGTATACAATTTTTGATCTTATGTTAGGCGTAATACGATGCAAAGTGAATTAAATGTCAAGCCGACTGTGTGATCAGGGTAAGGGATAAATTCGATTTACAAATCGTCTTGTGCTTGATTATGAAACACTAGAAGGGCTACGCAAAATGTCTATGTATTATAAAATGTTTTAATAATGCTTTGTTATATTATAATTACTGATGTAGTTGTGCCCAACTGATATTTGTTAATTTTATTTTCTATTATAGTGAAAGGATTGCCTTACATGTATGTCTGATTACAGGGCCGGATTAGTCAAGTCCAGTCCTTGAGGCATTTCTTTTTCTTGAGGCCATAGAGCCCCTATTCTTTGCGAATACATTTAAGCAATTTTGAGATAACTATATCCATCCTTTATAGAAGAAAGTTTTAACCCAATTGAAGAAATTTTGTAAGTTCTTCTTCTATAAAGGTGTTAAATGCTCATAAAAAAAAATATTGTTATGCCCGACCAGGCCCACAATGCTCTTAAACTATGTAAATCCTTTTGTACCCTACCACCTAAGTTCACATTGTGGAATGCAATAAATATATTGAATTGAATTAAATATATAATTAATTAGAAGCAAAAATATTTTGTTTTTGGTATCCTTGGGCCCCCGATGTTCTCGGGCCCCAGGCAGTTGTTTGTTCTGAATATTGATTAATCCGGCCCTGACCAAAAACCCTCTTTAATTGTTTCATTGGCATAAGCTACTTAGGGATATTTATGAGATAGAATTTGTATAAACATATATTGGGTGCCTGGTAATTAGTGACCGATATTTAACACACACATCACAACAAAAAAAGTATTAGCAAAATAGGTCCAGGCGTTGTTGAGTTATGTACTTACCAACACATTTTTATATACCTATAATAAAGATAGAAAAAAAGTTTCTTTGGTAAAGTTTTTGGTTATCAGGAATACAATCAAGTGTTTAAATATCGGCCACTAATTACCGATATATATATATATTATATTTCTGTCTGTGTTTCATAGTTTATCACAAGACGCCATAATAGCAGCCACTATGTACATTTTATAGTTGGCAATAATTCGCCATATTGTGTTAATAACGGCCTAATGATTTAGGTTAATTCGTATATTATGGGACGAAATAATTGTAACATATATATATATAATCCTTCTACCAAACAAACTAATAAATCTACATTTTACAGCTACAATCAACTAATTTTGAAAGCTATTTCGTTAGATATAAAGTACATATTAAGTTAACTACACCAAATAGGTATTGCAAATATATTTTTGCTTCCAACGCTGTCGTTATGTCGTGGTAATAGAACTCAAAATTGGTTGATTAACTGTAACAGGCTTATTCAAATGTAATAGGTATCTAAAATGCACTGCAGATGTATTTACTTAATTTTATATTTGAACAAGATCTTCTTTAAAATGTACTTGCATTATTCTGATTTGTAAACTACCTATTTCCAATTCCATTCTATTATTGAGACAGCAATGATTCATATAGTTCTAGCTCAACAAAATCACCAATGAGGATCGACTACTAAATCTCAGCTCTTCGTGATTGGTCCGTTTTAATAATAACGACCAATCACAGTCGTCGAATATCGAAAAGGTTTATGGTGTGAAGAGTTTTTTTTTTATTAAACAATGTTTTTAATTTAAAGGCAGCTCCTGGTTGATTAGATCGAATTTAACTGGCCATTTTTTTGTTTTCTTTTTCTTATGTAAGTAGAAGTCTCAGGCATCTGATTACGAAATAAATAATTTTGTTCGAAAATATGTTTTTTGTAATAATTGCGTACATATCTCACAAAGAATTAAAGCATTTGGCACTATTTTTTTTAGACTGACTCTGTAAAACTGCGCCATATTTCGTCACTTTTACACAGATCTTTTTAATTGACTATCTTTACAATATGTTTTGTTTTCAACTCGAAATAATATTGTTACGTGCCTGACGTCACGGGCTTGGGTTACGGGATTGGATGAAATGAAACACTAATACCGGTTTTCAGACTTTCTATTGCACTTAAGTTACAGCATCCACGGAGTTAAGTTATCGGCGTTCCTCTCCAGCAGAGTCCGGCCGACTGACACAACTTTGCCGTTCACGCTGACTTAACTCACTTAACTGACTGCACTGCACTATTTCACTGCACTTCACTATTTCACTCACTTTTCTTCTTTCTCACTTCTTTCTTTTCTTCCGAATCGCTTTAGACTTAGAACTCAACTGCCAGCGGTGAGCCGCAGTTCTGCTTATATACCCCCGGTCAGGTTCTAGAACATTCAATTTCGTTATTCTTTTTGATCGTCATGCCTCCAGAACCTTCCAATAATTTCGTTATTCATTTTTATTTATTCTCCTTCTCGCTCCTTAATTTTTCATTTCTTTCACACAAATAATTCCAGAAAGTTCGACAAAACTTCCATCAACTAAAAAACTTCATGTTTACGGCGGGACTCGAACTCGGGGTCTCTGTGGTGTAATCCACACGCCTTACCAATTACACCAACTCGTATTGACAATTCACGACGAAATTTACAATCTCTAGGCAACGTTTGACAACCATCCATTGACGTCATGATGTCAAAGAGTTTGAACCACTTTTCCGTCACACTGCCCCCCTCTTAGATTCGCTCGTCCCGAGCATCGTTGCTGCCGTAATACCTCGCCAACCTGTCTATATGGACAACTTTCAAAGGGCTCCTTGAAGTCTTCCGAATTCTGTAAGTAATGTCATTGATCTTCGTGACTATCTCATAAGGACCTTCCCAACTCGGTTGCAGCTTCGGAGATTTTCCCTTCCTTCTGACTGGATTATGAAGCCAGACCAATGACCCCTCTTCAAACCCAACAGAATTGGCTCGTCGATCATAGCGCGTCTTTGCGCGAACACTAGCTTGAAGACCGGCCTCCCTGATCTGCTCATAAATGTCCAACATTTTTGCCCTTAACTCGTTTATGTAATCGCTAAACTCGGTGCGAGTGTCGCCAGGTGGACAGCCCGATACAAGATCTGCCGGTAATCTCAATTCCCTTCCAAAATTTGCAAATGCAGGCGTCTTTGCGGTACTTTCATGTACAGCAGTCCGATAGGCAAGCAAGAAGAGAGGTATGTAAGTGTCCCAATCTCTCTGATGGCTGTCAACCACCTTTGCTAAGTGTCGCTCCAATGTTTGGTTGAAGCGTTCGACCATTCCATCTGACTGTGGATGATAAGGGGTCGTTCGAGTCTTATGGATTCCCAAAAGTTTACAAGTTTCCTGAAAAACTTGGGATTCAAATTTCCGTCCTTGATCACTGTGCATCTCCAAGGGCACTCCGAATCGGGTGAATACCTCGTTTACCAACTTCGTGGCTACAGTTACTGCCTCTTGATTCGGTATGGCAAAGACCTCCGGCCATTTTGTAAAATAATCCATAACCACTAAAACGTAGCGATTGCCCGAATCAGTGATTGGAAATGGTCCAGCGATGTCTAAGGCTATTCTCTCCCAAGGCATACCAACATTGTAGATTTTCATCGCCCCTCTGCTTCTTGTTTGTGGACCCTTGACAGCTGCACAACTAGTGCATTTCCGGCACCAATCTTCGACGTCATATTTGCAATGCAACCAATAAAACCTCTCCTTGATCTTCACCAAAGTCCTCCTAATTCCCAAATGTCCTCCAGAAGATCCATCATGGAACGCTTTTAATACATCCCTAATTTTTGAACGAGGCACCACCAATTGCAAATGCTCGTCCTTGCCGTTTGTTGATTCCCATTTCCTGCACAGAAGTCCGTTATGCAGCGTAAGGCTTTTCCACTGTGCCCATAAACCTTTCGTTACCGCGCTATATTGGGCGACGTCACTCCAACTTGGCTTGTTACCACTTCGTAGCCACTCCAGTATTGGTTTAATATCTGCATCTCTTTCCTGTTCTAATTTCATCGCATCATCTCCCCATGCCTCGTCAACAGTATCAGTCCTTATCACCTTAAGAAAAGCAGTTTCCTTCTTGGCACAATGCTTGCAATCTTCCACGCATGGGCGTCTCGATAATGCATCTGCGTTGCCATGAATTCTTCCGCCGCGATGTTCGATTTCAAAGTCAAATTCCTGAAGTTGTTCCAACCATCTGGCTACTTGGCCTTCGGGATCCTTAAACTGAAGCAGCCATTTCAAAGCAGCGTGATCTGTTCTGATCAAAAATTTCCGTCCCAGTAAATACTTCTTGAAATGGTGCAGAGTTTTAACTACGGCCAGCAATTCCCTCCTGGTCACGCAATAATTCCTCTCGGGCTTGGATAGTGACTTGCTGAAGTAAGCAATAACCTTCTCCTGCTCACCATCACGTTGTGAAAGGACACCTCCTATTCCAATATTGCTGGCATCCGTATCTACTACGAATATTCCTTTCGCGCTGGGGTATCCGAGAATTGGTGTGTTACAAAGCCCTTCCTTTAGTTCTCGAAAGGCTTGCTCACAATCCTCGTCCCAGATAAAGGCACGTTTCTCCTCTGTCAATCGATGCAAAGGCTTGGCAATGTCCGAGAATCCTTTCACAAACCGCCGATAATACGAGCACAATCCAAGAAATGCCCGAACTTGCGTTTTGTCTTTAGGTGTTGGCCATTCCTTAACAGCGACAGTCTTGGCTGGATCAGTCTCAATTCCTCTCTCAGAAATAACATGTCCTAGATAATTCACTTCGCGCTTGAAGAAAGAGCATTTCTTTGGACTCAACTTTAAATTTGCTCCACGCAGCTTGTCGAGTACCTTTTCTAATT